AGTTCTTACCCAACTCCTAGCTTTCCCTTCTTGGATTCTCCTCCCTCCTTGCTTCCCTTGAGCTGGAGCTTTGTGGAGATTTTTCCCAGAGCTTATCTCTCTGTAGTTGAGTTGTGGGATGGTACAAGTGTGGTAGGGGATACTCCTCAATCAATCACAATATGATTGTGGAGGATATGGCTTGGGGGTATGGATTTTGTCTCAATTGAGACTTCCCACCTAATATGCACGCCCCTAGCTGCTTCTTTGGTCCTTTGTAAGACATAAAATCGTGGGGTGGCCCCCACTTATGTGGGAGGTCATCCCATTTTGCCCCGATGTGTATAATCGGCCCCGAAAGTTGTATTTTTCGGACTATTTTAGTCATATTTTATTTATATCACGCGTTCCCAATAATTATGGGCCTTTAGAATAGATGTATATTCCCCAACATTAATTTAGGAGTCTCCGAAACTCATTTCGGGCTGTTATCCGCTAAATTACCAATACCGGTAATTGGGCCCCGTTTGACCAACCGGTCAACTCCATGCCTTTCTTATGGCCCAAATAAAATATCCACCACCATATAGATGTCATCTAAACCGGTAATTGGGCCCCACATGGAGTTACTATTCACGTAAAAGAAGTAATAAAATTTTACAATTACGCAAATTTATAAATAATCTTTCAAGGTTTATTACATAATTTACTAAAAGTAAATATGTTCGGGGTCGGTGTTACAGGACCTGCCGGTTCGGGCCCGGGCCGGGCCAATTTTTTTTTTTTGAATTTTTTTAAGTTTTTGGGTTGGGCTGGGTATTTTGAGCCATTTGAGGTGGTTAGGGATGGTTTGGGGGTGAGAGGGAGGGTTGGGGGTTAACTAGGAAAAGCCAAAAAAAAATAGAACCGAGGCCCGACCCTTTTGGTTGATATTTCCATATTTATGTTTGTGTTTTTAATTAGTTTTGCTTGATCTCTACTATGGAAATTACACACTTTTGGTGTAATAGATTAGTTTGTTAAATTCTTCTAAATAGGTTAGATTAGATATATTCTGAGCTCAAACAGGTCTTGATCACTCGAAGTACAGTTGGTGAACCCAAGAAGTGGAAAGAAGGTGCAAAAATTTGAAGACAAAAGAAGATCCTGAATTTTGGTCTATACTCGGTCGAGAATTAACTATACTCGATCGGGTATTAGGTTGGAACTTCAAATCGGATCAGATCCGAAGACAAGGGAACATGCCGGGAAGATTTCGGCCACGATTTAATGTCTATACCCGATCGGGTAGACCGACATACCCTATCGGGTATGCCTTTGAGTTTTAAACGAAGATCGGTCGAGTATGGTCCGAATACTATTTTCTAAGCATACTCGACCGGGTATTAATATATACTCGATCGGGTATACTTATGGAAAACAGCCTGAAACCGATCGAGTATACCTCGGATCGAGTATTACACACATACTCGATCGGGTACCATGTATATACCCGATCGAGTACCCGAATCCCATCCCAAAAGCCTATAAATACACCTCCTTTCCTTCACAAAAAGATATCCAATTCCTTTGTACATCTAAGCTCAATATAGAATAGCTCTTTCTTTATATTTTTCATCATGTTTAGTCTCCAAATGAGGAGCTAAACTCTTCCATCTTGGTTTTGCTACTTTGAAGCTTAATGAATTTGTAAGTTGTGAGTTATTTTCTTTAATCTTCTTCCTTGAATATTAATTCTTCCTTTAAAATACTATCTCTATATCAAAGTTGGGGAGTGTTACTAAGATGACAATTAGTTAACATCTTGACATTGGTTATAGTAATAGCTATTTCTTCCTCTATGTTAATATTGGGGAGTGTTACTAAGATGAACATCTTGATATTAATCATAGTAGGATTCATATTCTTTAATACTCTTACTTGAATATTAATTAATTCCTAGTCATATTTCATATTAATATTTTGAACATTACTTAAAGTATCAACTAGTTTTGTTTCTCATATTAATTATTACTAGAATAAATCGGTTAATACGCTTGTTATTAGTCCGGTTCTTTCAACGGTAGTAAACTTGGAATATTAATGCATGCATCTCATGGTTAATATGCCAAGGGGAATTAATTATATTGATTGAACCAATAAACCGCTTGTGTTGAGGTTATCAATCTCAATCGTTTTCAGCTTAAGTTTATTGCTACTATCAAGTTAATATAAGGCGCTTGTTCTATATTGACTCGATAGTAAGTTTTATTAATGAACGCATCTCGTTATTAATAACTACCCTCGATGAACTGGATATACTCCTCGATTGAGTATTCGAGAGGAAGATAGTTAAAGATATAACCGGGATCGACGGACATTTCATTAAGTGGATAAAAGCAAAATCAAGTCCTCATCTCATTGAATTAAACTCATATAAGTTGTTTATCTTAGTGTTTTTAAACCAAACAAATCTAAACCCCCCTTGTTACTATTTATATAAAAGAAAAGTATTCCTTCCCCTGTGGATACGAACCTTACTTCGTTATACTACGTATATTCGTTGTATTGTATTTATTTTGAGTGCACCTAATGACAAGTGCACGTCATTGAATAAGGAGGTTGCCGCTCGTTGTAACCGTCACCCCTCGTCGCGCTACTGCTCTCCATCGCTGCACACCCCTCGCTGAGCTTCGAGAAATTGAAGTGAGAGGGTGTCCGTCCATTCAAAAGCTGGGGAACAGGATATGGATTAGGGATTCAGGAGCATTAAAGCCAATTTAAAATTTTTCAGTAACTTTTTTGTCCTTACGGGATTTACTCCTATTTTTGTCCTCCAAAACTCTAATAGTAATAATTAGGCCATTCTTTCATATTTAAGTCATAGATATAGATTCATCAATATATATACTCGCATGGATATTTATTTAGAATCGGTTAATTGAAGTGGTCTGTCTTGAGAAAGCCGCATGGGTTCTATCGGTAGGGAGGGCAACGGGCGGATTGGGGACGGTTTGCATATAACTGTAACCGCCCCATTGGGTAATTTCCCCGCCCCGTAACCACCCCATTACTCAACGGGTAATTTTTATCCAAATCATAACCGCCCCAACAGGTAGTGGGTTAAACTTCGGGTAACCATGGGTAACCGCTTTATGAATTGAGTCATTAAATTTTAATTTAAAAAATAATATTTTAAAAGGCGAAGAATGACATCGCCTAGACCACTCTACACTTTAGATGTCACTTTAAAGATTCGTATATCTACAAGATGAGAAAAAAAAGCAACTTAAATTAATTTGAACATAAAAATACTTAATCTAAAAAATAATTAATCACAAAAAAATATGATAATAATCAAACAAGACTATTAAAATCTATTATGAACTTTCATTTATACATTATAGTAGTACATCTATTATCTATATATACACAATGGTAAGAAAAAATCTCATATTTTAATAGTTGTGAGACAAATAATAGATAAAACTATAATAAAAATATAACTACAAATAAATGGGGTGAGTATGGGGCGGATAATGGAGCGGGCATGTATAAAACTGTAACCGCCCCATTACCCGTAAAACCAAAACGGGTATTCCCCGCCTCATACCCATTACCCGGTCAATGCGGGTTTCCCCGTTTTGACCGGGGTGATTCGGTGCGGGTATCCATCGGTTCGGTCACAATTGTCATCTCTCTAGTTCTATGTCATTAGTTTCAATAATGAAGGTGCATCATTCCCTAATCGGTAACATCATAGCTACCAACATGCATGAAGATTAATTGTTTTAAAACGTTTAATCATTATCCTTCATCGCGTAATAATAAAGGTTATGATTATGTGTATTATGAAATTCTCAATAGGTATATGAGAATGATTTTTTGTTACTATCATAAAATGCAAAATTGATATATCTCGATTTGTGAACAAGTAAAATTAAATATAGGTGTGATCGTACAAATGCAAGGTAATTCAAGGTAATGTTTATTTACATGGTCCCAATCACATTTCAATTACATGTACCATGTCATAAAAGTGCCATGTTCAATGAAATAGGTTATGACGAATGTAGTGATAATTTATACAATTTGGTTGACAATGATGCTTTTGAAGAAACTGTTCATGGTCCGGAAAAACGAACCCGGTTCGGTCCCGCACAGTAGCAGGTCTGGTTCCGGTCCAGGACCGCCGACTGGGTCCATCCCTAGTTTGAAATAATTCCGACTTGTACAAATACTCCTAAAGTCCTAAACAAATAAGCTAGTTGGATCATTGGCAACACAACAACACTAACAGGTCCGGAAAATGAAATAACTGAAACTAGGATTTGAGCTACAAAAACCTTTTTTCTCGTATTTTCGAACAAGAGAGATAAAAGCTCTCTCTTTTACAATAAGATTGTACAAAACATGAAATTAAGTTAAAACAATAAGCCTACATGCATTTGCAGATGATATGCTCATACGTATCTGTGTGTGACTATTGATAGAGGCGCATGACAACAGAACCATGATTTATATGTACTATCTCAACTGTTCGAAAACATGATGATTAATATGAATATATTATAATTACAACCATCTGTACTTAAGATTTAACGTGTCAAACTTCCTCATGATATATGAATTCTGCGTATCACTTCCTTTGAGTTATCATTAATCATCCGCATAACCTCTCGGATAACAATTTGAAATTTACATACATTAGTTTAATTACTGAGCATAAAAGTAAATTTGACAGTCTATAATATATCGAACCATTAATAACCTTTCTTTTATTTGATAATAAAAAAAATCTGAGGGGTTACGCGCGTGGTTAAATATAATATGCAGGTGTTTGAAACATTTTTAGACCACAGAGATTAATGTGCGAAACTTATATATAAAGGTTTGGCACAATAAAAGTCTCTGATTACGACCCTCAAGATGTAATGGTGGTAAGAGTGGCAGTGTGGCACTATCAAAGCTCTAAATCATTCGTTATTTATTGGACATGGAATTTTAAAAAGCTGAACAGAAAAACATTTTTATAAACAAGGTAAAACACCGTGACTCTTACCACGCATAACTCATCTTAACATTTGACTTTACAAGTTACAAGTTTTACAACCCAATACTCAATAAGGCAAAAGAGAACGCAAATCCAACATTGGATAAAAACATTGTGATTTAAAGAAAGATTCTTCCAGAAAGATGATGATTATATAATCCCATCAGGTAACACTACTACCTAACAACAAAATCAATTGATAAAAGAATTTCACCAATTTCACAAATGGGACTCATTTACCTCATGTAATTCGAATGATTAGCACGTCCGTCGCTCCGCATAAGAAGACTCGCAGGAAAAAAATAATACCGAGTGGCATCATCATCATGGTTTACAAATGAGCACCATCACATAAAAGTCAAGAAATCAACTAAAAAGAGGCAGCGTAATGGGCTTGGTCATTCATAACAAAACTCCCTACCACAATTGATTAAAACTCAATCCTTAATATGCATCACGCCCAACACGTCGATCGTCTCGGCCCCTGTCCACAAACACCGGGCGGCGATAGTCCTTCACTGATGCTGCTCTATCCCTGATCGGACTTCGGCTCCTCTCTCTCACGTCACGAGGCCAGTGACCACCACGTGGTGGCAGGGATGGCAGCAGAGGTGGGGGTGAGGATGGCATTCGCCTCTCATACACTCTCCTCTCGCCCAAATATGCCTCCCTGCCCCGGTGGTCTCTGTGGGCCCCCCAGTCAAGTGGCAGCGGTCTGTCAAATCCTCTACCCCTGCTGTCCCTGTAATCATCTTCAAGAAAATCTCTACGCAGAGGAGGGTGATCCTGAAACCTGCTTTCATACCTGGGTGGAGGTGGAGGAGGAATCCCTGCCCTAAAATCTCTAGGATCATCTCTGGCCCATCCACGAGGTGGAGTGGATCTATTATACCCATTCATAAGCCTTCCAGGAGAACGATCCACCAAGGGGGCAGGAAGGGTCCGAGATAAGGGAGGAAGTGGGGCATGACCTCTTCTTGGGCTACCAGCTGGTGGATAACGTGGTCTCTTGCAGTTGTTACAGTACTCTCGGCGTGCAAAGTTCAAGTTGTCACACCTATGTATCAAGCGAACAGTATGAATGAATTATAAATAAATGAAAACTTGAAATAGGTGAGGTGTTAAAATTCCATATACTATAGTTAGTAGAAGCCAGTTTTACACTTTCAAATGAATGACAACTTATTACTGAGCAAGTAAATGCATGGAATCAAGGAGGATATATATATGAATAAAGCTGTTCTTAAAACTTTTACATCTGATTCGATTTCTAAGCCCCTATATGATCGTAATAAATAAATAAAAATGAGTTTGACCTAATTTTGATATTGAATTTACTGAGTTTGAACCAATGCTTTATTATTATTCCACACAATTTCTTTCCTTCTAAATTGCTCCTATATTTTCCACACTAATTCTTTCCGTATGATTTTCTGACTTTCAAACACCCTACGCGTAGAAGATAGTTTTAGATATATTACAAATGATTTACACAGCCATAAAAAGATCTTACTTACAGCGGATCAGAGCATATCCAGTCACCTTCTCTAGGCCGCACATTTGGATTATTTTTAGGAACGTCCGCTCTAACCGACCCAGAAACGTAACTGTGTCGATCATAACTTCTAACAGAAAACCTGCCACCTTCCCTTCCACGATTATACGGAGGTGAGTGGTCCTTATATCTACTACCAGTATCTCTCCCGCCACCAAATCCACGACTATGCACTGGACCCCTTGAATGGTCAAAATTTGGACTGTACCTGTGATCCATATTTCTACGACGTACAGGAGAAACAGAACCTGAGTGCATTCTATATCCTGAAAAAGATCAGTGAAGCTCAGAACATAAGAGAGTATCATTTTTACCGAATCAGTAATCCATATCACATTTTCCTACTTTAGCTAAACTTTGCAACTCATTATTCAGGAGATCTTGTCAAGGAGAAAAACGACAGTGCGAAGACGATATTGACCCAAGTGGATTGCTGCCCTTAACTTACCTCTGGAATGGCTTTTTATATTCATCCAACAAGTTACCCACAACTGTACAAATGAATATTTATATCCACCCATCAAATTCTACTGCATGTGATCCTCTAGATTCCAACTGCAATGGTTTCTATGTGCAATAGCTGATACCATCAATTTGTTATATTCACAAAAGAGACATTGTTTTCCCCCAACTACATCACTGACTCAATGTTACACAAAATACTTTTATCAAAGAAAACAACACAAACAAATACAATTACTGACTCAGATGGAAACCACACACCGCTTTATGAAAGATTTAGTTGTCCAAACCTCATAAGTTCAAGAAAACTAAACTCCACATCCATTTAAAAAAAGGAAGGAAAAGTCAGAAAAGCAAAACAGTACAAGCCTACAAAAAACGACGAGTTTTAACCAATCAATTTTTGTATAATGGTGAACTTGGAAGGTTTTCGTGCAACTACGATCAGGAGGCAAAAACCTACGAGGGAAGCCATATGGCTGATCCAGCAGATACTAAAGAACATATGAACTGAATATAGGTGGTCTGAACGGCTGCACTTTTTCCTAGGATGCTACAAACTTTGGAGATTGGCTTTACTAAGCTGGCAAACACAATAAAACTCTGAAGTTGGACGCATACAATGAAACTGAAAGTCATCAATCAAAGACGCCTTCACTCATTTAGCAGCTAAAAAAATGACATACCCACCCAAATGGGCATGCATCAGTTGCCAGTAAGCCTGAGCACAAAAAGTACATGATTGAAGACCAAAAATCGAATGTCAACTGACCAAACCACAGCATCACAGACCGCTCGCCAGAAGTGATAAAGTTCAAACATTATATCCTTTATCAGAAACCCCAGGTTGATGTTAGTCATTACTGCTAATAGCACCACCAACAAATGCATTATTAAAATTCAATGGTAATGGCAGTGCCCAACATCTTCCCAACCACCTTACACCAAATAGAAAAGATCTCATTAACTGTTGCCGGCACCCATGCCCCAACTTCTTACAAGTCATTTTCCACTTGCACCTTTATACCATACAAACCCCCTAAAACAAATCCAGACCAGATCCATCACCAGTACCCATGACAGTGTGCCCTCCTTGAGAGTGAAGTGGTTGCTCCAAGAAAGATTAACAGTTTATGTTGTTCAATGTAAAATTCCATACACGTCTTTTATAACTCAATAGTCAATACCCTTAAACCACTAAAACACCAAGACCAAATCCATCACCATTCACCAGTAACCATACCAATGTGCCTTCAATTATCATGTTCTGGCATGAGGTAACTATTCAAAGCTGTAAACACAATAGCAAATTCATTTAAATTTTAACATTACCCATGTGACTCTCGAACGGCGACACGGGTAAGAAATGCACTTGACTTGCTGTTACAGGCACATTCACAATACATTTAAAAGTTGACCATGAACTAAATGACCCACTTTCATATAGCAAAAGTTAACCTCATCAATAACCATTAAATTAAGTCTCTTACAAGTCACCCAATATAATCAGTGCAAAACAGAAACAATTCAAAAAGGACATTTTACTACAAATTCACATATAGGAGAATTTTATATCTGCAAAATTACAATTCAGAAGTTAAACTTCAATGAAGGAAGAACCTTCTCATCCATAGGAGAGCACTGAGCAGAGAGCTGTTTACAGTTCAACCACAATAGGAGTTGCGTATTTACTTTTATGAAGATAAATATGAAAATAAAATCAAATGAACAAAGTAGGTTTGAGAGGAGCGATATTCAAGGCAGCACAAAAAATTAGCCTTCAGGTCAAGAATAACATGTAACCATGACTGTGTACTTATATTGCACAGTTTAAGCATGTGCAAGAAAAATTCAAAAGTGCAGTTTATTAGAAAATAATTAAAAAAATTCAAAACACGATGTATAAGTGTAAAAAAATGAACAGAACATATTATGAAGGTTCATAGTATTCTTTTAAAGAGGAGAAAATTGCAAATCAGAAAGTAATCTCTCAAGAAATCAATGAAGCATATGGGTTATTTCTGAACTGGGTGACTGCTTAAAAAAGTGATGGGAACGAATCAAGAATATATTCCCGCAAAGTATAATAGCTAGAATCCGAACCAAAGGACCTAACTTTCTACGTTGATTTTGAAAGGAGAGTAGCAAGATATGCTAGAATATCATTTAGCTAAATGACGGACCATGGCTATCAAGAAATCGCTCGGAGCGAGAGTACGCAGTTTGATCCCTACGAACCTCGCCTGGTTCGTAATCGCCAGCTCCCCCAGCACCTGCGGCAACTGCTCCAGCACCTCCTCCGCTGCTTTCGGTTGGTCGCACAACGAGGCTGCTGAGATGCGGAGTTGTCTGCTCCTTCTCTCTCGACACCATCTCTCTATCTTCTTTTTGTTGAGGCTAGATAGTACTATCGGCCTTGTTTTCTCCTTCAGCTGATAGAACAATGAAAACGAAACCCTAGCTAGCTCGTGTGCTGGGAGGGGCTTCGGAATTAGGAGCCTGTCTCGGCTAAACCGAACCCGAATTTCCCAAAATAGTAAGGGAATGTTTGTTTGAAATCATTTTCTAAAATAATTTTAGAAAAAATGTTTAATCATAAAAGTTGATAGTATTTGATAAAAAAATAATTTTGGAAAGTAAAAGTTGGTTGTGTTTGGTAAAGCACGTCCTTTTTACGTAATAGAAAAAGTAATTAAAAAGCATATTCTAGCTTTAATTTTAAGTGTTTAATTTAAGTAGAAGTTGTCATTTGAAAACATTATTTTCAGTTTTTAAGCCAAAAGTTGAAAACTATTTTTTTTTTATTTTTTGAAATCATATCCTAAGAATGAGTTTAATGCACCAAAGTCCCTCATGATATATAAATTCGGCACATTAATCTCTTGCGCTTTAAAAAATGCATCAAACTCTCATATGTTATAGTTATTCATGCGCAAAAACTTATTTAAGAACAAACTTTACAATTTTGAAATCATTTTTCTTAATCATATGATTGAATATGCAGGTAACTTTTTCAAGATTTTTAAATTATATAAAAATACTAATAATTTTTTGATAATTAATTTTGTTCATAAAGGGAGTTTTACGCATAATTAACTATAATACGAGGGGCTTGACGTATTCTTTAAATCATATGAACCTAATGCGTCGAATTTATATTTCACGAGGGACTTTGGCGCAATAAACCCCAGTAAGAATATAAGAGTTTGTTTGATGATCTTGATTTCCGGTTTATCAAGCTTATCAATCAACTTTTTCACTAAACACATAATTTTTTATTTCTTGCGTTGAATTATGTAATATAATAATAAAAAGTAAGACGAAAGTTACATTTCTGACTGTATTGATTGAAGTTACTCTAGAGGATCATTTTTCTAGCTAAGTCATACGACTCACGAGTATGACTTAAATATTTGCTAATACAAATAAGAACACTTTTACTAATAGAATAATATTGAAGTAACGAGTAATTGTATTATAAATGTCTCATATATCTTGATCAGGACATATTGCTTTGTAAAAGGCTTCGTATGTATGATATTTTATAATCTATGTATTCTTATTATATTGTTACAATACTTTATAGTAATTTCAAACAATAGGAGTTATAAAAGCATGTGTGAAGATGATAATATTATTTTATCCATATTGCATGTTACTTTTTACAATGAGCATTATTACAATAATTTCTACTATTGCTTCATTTGTCCCATTTATAAGATCCATTTATCCTTTTAATCTGTCTAAAAGATATAAATACTTTTTAAAATTGAATATTACTAACTTTTTATTGTATCAATGTATGGTATATACATCATTTCACTCTTTTTTGTACATTCATCTTAGTTTTTCTACTTTTTGGAGACTAAAATTGTAAAACAATTAATTTTTTTTAGAACTCGCGAAAAAAGCTACATGTAGATGTATCTAGCATTATGGGATAGAGATAATATTACTCTTGTTATCATTACTATTACTATTATCGTTATCATCATCATTATAGACATTTTCTCATTTCAGTAGAGATTTCAGAGGATCGAGTTTGGATTTGATGGAGGGGTACTCATATTCGTCCATCAAATCTTCACTATCATATGTTATATATATATATATATATATATATATATATATATATATATATATATATATATATATATATATATATATATATATATATATATATATATATATATATATATTGTGTCCATGGCATCATCAATAACTTATGTAGGTGGACTAAGGGCATAATAGGTTAAATTAATACACATCATTTTTTGTTAAAATAATTACACAAATATATTTAAAACTTAATATTGCAATGAAAAAGTAGAACACATTAATTATTTAATATTAGTAATGTTAAACCATAAGTTATTATAATATTTTGAGAAAAGGGTCAAATAAGGTCTTGTACTATCCTAAAATCATCATATAATGCCATTTACTCAAAAAGTATCACAAACATATCTTTACTTTAAAAAATCGAGTAGATGAGGCAGAACGACGGGTTAAAAACCCTTTAATCCCGGTTACTGCTTATGTGGCAGTAATTTTAGCAAATGTTGGTTTTTTCCATGTCAACTACACCGTGTCCCATTAGTTTACCAACCTTAGACATATCGCGATTGGGAATGAGAGGATCGATCATCCGGTCTCACTGCAACTAGGGTTTCTGGAGTTGCGTTGATTTCGCGATTGGGGACGATGATTGACAGTGATTCCTTCGTTTCGCCGCTAGGCCGCATAGGCCAAGTAATCCTGTTTACTATATTCAATTTCAACGATTTTTTATGTATAGTTGAGAATGAATTTGAAAATTTATTGAAATATTGAACATGAATTATACTTTACTATCTTCTATTTTGCATAAAATCTCTGCTTTACTCATTTGAGTAGTAACTATCTTCTATCTTAATGAAATTTGCTTTGTGAAATTTACTCATTAAAAGATGGTACGCAACTGGAAGGAAGGTAATTTTCTTGACCAGTTTCATTTAAAACATTAAACTTTCACTAGTTACTACTGAAATAGATAACACAAAGACAAAAATTCATGAAATAACACTACCACGATAAAACAACATATATAACTATTTTTCAATCTTTTATTTTTCAGAATGTTTTTGGAAGCAGAATTGAAAATCCACCGTGGAGGGAATTTCAAGAGAATGCCAAAACTTGCATACGTAAATGGTGATGTTCACATCATTGTTTTAGATCCAGATAGGATTTCATATCCTCACTTGATGAAGTACATCACAGAGGATATGTATAAAAAAGTGGATTCACTATCATATAAATTACTCGACGAGACTCTAGATAGGTTAAGGCCGTTGTGCAATGATGTTACAACTCTACATCTAATTGAGATGGCATTTACTTACGGTGTAGTAGAAGTGTATGTGGAGCACGGAATTGATGAGCCTGAACTTGTTGACCACTTAGGGCTGCCTTCAACATTAGTTGTGGGGGGTAATGATACCTCATCAAGGCTTGAAAGTGAGGAAGAAGTAGGGATTGAGGTAGAGCATCACATGCTCACAGTGAGTGTGAAGACACACATCGAGAAGAAAAAGAGAGTGAGGTAGAACCAAATGAAGAATGTGAACACCATGAAGAACACATGTCATCTGGTGATGTTCAGCCTTCCTTAGAGTCTGACTTTGACGGAGAGGAAGAATGTAGTGAGTATTATGACTCCGACGACCCCCTAGTTTGCACTCAGATTCTGAAAATGAAGAGGGACATCCAGTGGATTCAAAAGTGAAGAAGAATTCCAAATGTCCATCATAAAATCGAAATTCCGATTCCAAAGAGCTTGAGTTGGAAATGTTGTTTGAAGATGCAAGGGAGTTCAAAACTGCTATAATAAACTATGCAGTTCATTTCAAGAGGGATCTTAGATGGGTAAGGAATGGGCCCATGAGACTTCAAGTTGCATGTTCTGTGAATTGTCCTTTCAGATGCACTGCTTCATGGCCAAAGCAGTATAACTGCTTCCAGATAAAGACATGGGTAGGGACACACAGTTGAAGGTAGTAAGTCAAGTCTAGCTTAAAGAAAAGTACGAGAATAAAATCTGAGAAAACCCGTGCATATGCCAAGTTGAATTGCAAACGGAAATATGGAATGAATTGAAAATAAGTGTGAACATTACGAAGGTAAAAAGAGTCACTGCCAGGGTATTAAAAAAACTAATGCATCATTTGGGGATCAGTTTAGAAGACTCAGAGTGTTTGAGGTCAAATCTAGGGAGCACCTTCATTGTGAAAACACAACGGGTGAATGAAGACGGTCCTGAGATATTTCAACGAATGTATGTTTGTTTTGGAGCTTTAAAAAGGGGTTTTTATCGGGCTGCCATCCAATAATTGGCTTAGATGGAAGTTTTCTTAAAGGGATGGTCAAAGGTGAAATATTAAGTGATGTGGGTAGGGATGATAATAATGAAATGTACCCTATAGCATGGGCCGTTGTGGAGATTGAAAACAGTGACTCTTGGAGGAGGTTTCTAGAGTTGTAAAAGAGGATCTTGACATCAACAATTCATTTCATTGGACTTTGATGAGTGATCAGCAGAAGGTACGGATATAAAGATTCAACATTTCATTTCATACTTAGTAATTTAAGTATGCTGTATTTTAAGTTTTAAGTTTACTGTATTTTAAGTTTTAAGTATGCTGTATTTTAAGTTTTAAGTTTACTGTATTTTAAGTTTTAAGTATGTTGTATTTTATGTTTTAAGTTTACTGTCTTAAGTCTTAAGTATGCTGTATTTTAAGTTTTAAGTTTACTGTCCTAAGTTTATCATTTCATACTAAGACTTTATTATTTTACTCTATTATGAATTCTTATGTTTAAAACTAAGATGTATGTTTACGGTAAGTATATAAATCTGTCTAGATTTATATAGTTAAGTTCATTGAGTCTATTATTAAGTCTTAAGTCTACTGACTTAAGTTTTAAGTTTACTAGTGAGATGTATGTTTATTGTATTTTAAGTCTTAAGTATGTTGTATTTTAAGTTTTAAGTTTACTGTCTTAAGTTTATCATTTCATACTAAGGCTTTAGGTTAAAACTGAAAAGTATGTTTGCAGTAACTATACTAAGACTTTATCATTTTACTCTATTATTAAGTCTTAAGTTTAAAACTGAGATGTATGCTAACTATACTAAGTCTTAAGCCCAATTTTAATAACAATGTGATGAGATCATTTGGACTCGTTCCTCTGATGGTGTCTTTGCCTTCCGTCATGCTTATGATGCGATTAGAACCGTTGCCCCGAAGATAGGAAACATTAATCTGATTTGGAAAAAGCCGGTTCCAAAAAAAATCCTTTTTCCTATGGCGTGTGATAAATGGTTTACTGGTCAACGAAATATCTTTAACTAAAATGGGATTTAACGACCCATTTAAGTGTCCGAATTGTAACCATAATGACTCCCTGGATCATTATTTCATGCAATGCAATGCCCATCATAAAATCTGGGATCATTTTGGTTTCAATCCTCATAATCTGGGAACCAACATCAAAGAGTATATTTTAAATTCTACAAAATCGACACGTTTTTTTTAGAAAAAATGATAATCCTTTGGAACCTTTGGAAATGTAGGAACACGGTTTTTTCCATGATTATCTTATGAGTAATCCCGAGGCTATCGTCCGAATCAATAAGGACCTCTATGATTTTCACGGTTGGCGAAATCACCCGAAGGGGAACAAGAAGAGAAAAGCCAATATTTATGGATGGTTGCCTCTCCCTTGTGATAAATTTTCTATCAATATTTCCGTTACTCAATCTGGTATGAACTTTAAAAGTGGGGTTGCTGTTCGTAATCATAACGGTGAATTAGTTTTTCACCTCCATGGTGAATATTTTTGCAGTAATCCCTTTCACAACATTTTTTGAAACAATTCTCATAGCCATTAATGCTTGCAGGGTTAGGTCTCTAAGAATCCACAACTTGGACCTCGAGAACAAACATGTCAAAAGGCCATCCAGCAACATTGCAAAGACCATTGGGATCACATTCATACGATAACGAGAATTAGGAATATCTTGCATCAAGATTACATTTACATCAATGTAATCCCTGAGAATATCAATGTGGTTGCTAGATATATTAGCCTCGGGAAGGATGTGAAATTTTCTCATTTCTTGAGGATTCTTAAATTTGATGCAATCGGTTTCCCCTATGTTGTTTGACTTTCCTGGTAGTAGGCTTTGGTTGATGTCCTCCTACACCATTTTGTGTTCCCGTATTTTACTCTAATAAATTCTCTATTTACAATGCAAAAAAAATCTCATCTGTCTATTACTAGTGGTATGTGTGATTATACTCTGTGTCTAAAAAGCACTCTTTTAAAGTATATTATGTCTCAATTGTTGAAGTGTTAAACAACAAGTGCACAAATTATGTGTATGGCTTAGTCAAGGTCATAAAGGAACTTTTCCCAAATTCAGAGCACAAAAACTGTTGCAGACATATATATGCAAATTGGAGTAAGAAGCACAGGGGAAAGGTGCTAAATAAACACTTTTCGGTTTGTGCCAGAAGCACAACTGAAGCTCATTTTCAAGAACAAATGAAAGCATTCATGAAAGTTGATGCTGCAGCAAAGGGTGATTTGGACGCACATGATCCTCATCAGTGGTACAAAGCATATTTCAGAATTCAAGTGAAATGTGATATCTTGGACAACAACCTATCAGAAGATTTTAATAATACAATATAATCCGAAAAGCTAGGTGCAAGCCAATAAGTCCCATGTTAGAAGACATTCGAGTTGTCATAATGAAGCGGATTGCTAAAAAGGTGAAGTTTGTGAGCGGATGGACTTCCAAGCATGGACCTAGAATTTTGAAAAAGTAAAATGCCAACACATATCAACGCATGGGATGAAAGGTTAGTGTGCGATCTAAGTTCATGATTCATATATATTTATTTTCTTATTAATATATGGTGTTTTATTTCAGGTCATTTTTAATGGTGATTATGGGTATGAAGTTAAACATGGGAGCCATCAATATCAAGTTAGGCTGGAAGCAAGAAGTTGCTCTTGTAGAGCTTTGGGAACTGAGTGGAATTCCTTACCCACACGCTGTCTGTGCAATTTTTGACAAAGGTGGGGATCCTGAGGACTATATCGACCCTTGCTATTCAAAGGAGGTGTACCAGGGAATATATTCTCATCACCTTCAACCAATGAATGGAGAGTTGATGTGGAGTAGGACACAACATAATGATATTGCACCTCCAATTCCCAGAAAAACGTCTGGAAGACCCAAGAGAAAGAGAACTCGAGAAGCTAGTGAAGGATTAGGGTCTCAAAAGGGAAGGACAACGATCTCAAGAAAAGGTTGAGTCATGAGTTTTTCGGTATGTAAGCAAGCTGGACACAATAAAGCAAAGTGCCTGAGTAAGAGCTCAGATACACTGACAACATCCACCGTACCCGCAAAGATAACAAGGATTGTAAAACAAGCCTTTGTTAAATTGAAAATCAAAAGAAGAACTCGAACTGAAACACCAAACACTCCACTTGATGCAGGATCAAACACTCCACCTGATGCAGGACCCTCCAGTGTAGCCATATAGTGGATAGAGTAGTGCTTAATAGTAATGTGATAGGGACACTTATGTACTTGTATTTGTCTGACAATGACAATGCCTTTTCTGAGTTTGGCTACGTTTGTGATGAACTTGATTGTGTTTTGAATGATGTTATTTCAGTCCAAGAGGTGCAGTCTTATGGAATGAAATTGTGTTTTGATTGAAACTATTTCAGTCCAGGTGATCCAGTCTTTGGAGAAGCTTGATTGATGATAATTGTATTTTTTTTACCCCGGAAGGCAAACCACCATAATCACTAGGGCAAATGTCGGGGGACATTTACCAGGTATTATTAATGAGAGAAAAGAATTACAAGCTCGAGGGGACCAAACCTTACCCGAGGAAAATAAAGATTACATTCTAATTGAAGGAATACCAAAAAAATCCATCCAAAAGGCCCTTTTAACAGGAGTAGGAAGCTGATCCGGTCAGGTGAAAATGTTTAATCTGTCCGTCCGAATTTGGGACACATGATGCGCGGCCCAATTACATTCCCTTTTCATATGTCCGAACTCCACCCCTTTCCTAAAAGCCAAATCACGGCTTCCTGAATATCTCTCGCCCATCTACTTTCCTTCTTGCCCGCAAGGTACGCAATAACCACGGTTGAGTCAGATTCCACCTGAAAGTTAACAAATCCCTTCTCCATAGCCCATCGAGTAGCATTAAGGATGTCTTTCACTTCAGCTTCCAACGGAGACATGGCAATCACAGGGAAGCAAATCGCCACTACAAAACCTCCTCTTTTGTCACGCAGAACCGCTCCTCCTCTCGCCTCACCAGCTAAGTATCCAGCATCAATGTTTAGCTTCCATTTCTTACTTGGTGTCCGCCATTTAATTATTTGAGGTTTAAAACCCTGTAGCTGGAAATATTTAAGAATCAAACCTTTTTTGTAAAGAATATCACCAGTAGTCCAAATCTTGTTTGTAGGCAATGAAACAACCCAATTCTGAGTATACATTTTAATTTGAATGATAAGACTATTAGGGGTAGACATACCCCCACCAAAGCCCCAAATGTGGTTGGCATACTCTTTCCAAATGATCCAACAGATGATCCCAGGCATATTCTGCTTAAAGATGTCAACCATACTCATAACCCCCTTCCTCAATTTGAGCCCTATGTGTTTATGTATTTAATGAGAGTTTATTTTGATTGTACTTGTGTGAAACTCTCATCCTTTACTGGTGCTGATAATTTCCATTCAGAATGATGGTACTATAATGACTATTGATAGTCCCTGTTTCTGTAACAGCAATGAATAGCAGTATAACAAAGAAGATTAAACGTAAGGATGAACACAGATGAATCGATGTAAAACCCTCTTTGATATATCGTGAACTCGTACACAGAAAGATTCGCGTAAGGCTATAATGAATAAGTACGAAAGTTAACCTAATCCTGAACCCTCAGCTCCATTTTTATAGGCGAGGTTCAGGTAGGCGTGAAAGGCTTTTAGCCTGTTTGTATGGGCCTAACACTTGGCCCATATTCTACCTAATAAATGCACCTATTTAATACAAGGAATAATAATAAAGCTAATCCATTACAAAATAGATGACAAACTTGATTCACAATTAAAATATCTTCAACAATCCCCCCCTTTGTGATTAAGTGCCACTTTGTTATTGCTTCTGTGATTTGAAATAGTGCTTCCTCATATTCAGTGCATGCTCGTATTGCCTTAGCATGTTTCTCTTTTCTAGACGATCGTCGATGGCTTTTAAAATGGTCTCCACTGTAGAGTGTTCCTTTTGAACGTATGATGATGCCTCCTGAAGATTTTGCTCTAGCTGTTCCTTCATCTTTAGCATCTATTCTTTGATTATCTTCAGCGTTCCATCACAATATTTCTCAATTTCATTAACCACCATCATACGTTTTTCGTTCTTGTGGTTGAGATATGTGACTGCTGGCGGTGTGAAGAAGATGTGGTAAGCTGGGAAGTCTTCGAGTTCTGGACCATACAGTCTTGGCTTTGTAAGATTTGTTTTTGTCAAGTTGCACTCAATAGCCATCTGTAGGTCATGAAATGAGTGCACTCTGATTTGTCTGAGCATGAATCTTTTGATTGCTGCAAGGCCTTCGCTGTATGTTTTGCTTTGTCTGACTGGAAGGTATCGATAAGCCATAAACATTTGATAGATGTCGTCTGGTTTAAGCATGATGAAATCATTTTCTTGGCAAGTAAATTCACTCCCATCAGTGCATTGAAGCTTGTAAGAATAGAATCTCACTCCGTGATAATCCTCGGCCTTAACCTGCAGGATTTGATGAATAGGGAGAATATTGGATTTCAAGTCTTGTTCCATCAGCTCTCTTTGAGTACCGGTTGACCTTTGCAACAGCATATGTAGATGACCTCCAGCCTGCTTTCCTTTGAGATGGGTAAGGCCTCGTAGCTTCAGTTCATTCAACGGTTTGACTTTGTCTGGTCTACGCCAAATACGCTCTCTGATTTCCTCTTGGAAGGGGGCTTTGATTCGAACGTTGTCCCAAGGTTTCTCAGTCTTGGGAAGTCTTCCCGCTGATTGTCTGACGACAGATTCAAGTGTTTTCTGAGATTCCTTGTAGTTCTCCCCTTCCTTTCGTTCATCGTCCTCGAGCCTGATTATATCTTCAGCACATTTGTTGATGAGTTCTCGTAGGAACCAGTTCCTCTGCATATCTTCACACTCTTCATCCTGCATGATTTGATCCATCTCCGTCCAAAGTCTGGGCCATTTGTCGTGAATAATGATATCTTCTAGCTGATCATGCATTTCATCTGACGACAGAATGATAGTGGTAGGTTGACCTTTTGGAGACGGAGGCCTGTTAATCGAAACACCGGGTTCAATAGGATTTCCCGTTGTCATCAGCTTTGAACGAGGTTCTAACTGATTGCCTGATGTAAAAGATGTACCAGTGGTAGCATCATCAGGACTTCCATCCCCTCCTCGGTTGGTATCTCTAGGAGATACGCCTCGGGATGTTGCGTTTAGCTCGACCATGCTAGAGATTTTGGCTGCGGGTGGTGGCTGTTGGTTGGTAGAGGTTTCTGGTTGAATGGGCTGTGGAGTTTGGCTAGGTAAAGCAGTTTGCTCAAGTGGTCGTGACCGCTTGTTCTCCCCCTCATGAGGATTCGAATCATCGGGGTCCTCATGGGAACGTTTGCGACCACGAGGACTGTCCTTGCATTTGCTTTTGGTTTCAGGGGAAGAAAGGAGGGCTTCGAGAATGGCTTACTGGTGGAGGGTAAGTTTGACTTCAGGGATGTTTAGAAGATTGTCCAGCAAGGCCGATGCCAGGTTTCGAAGGGTAGTGAGGAGAGATCGATGGAGGGTGTGGTCGGGCGTGGGGAGAATACTAGTTCTGTATCCTGGGTTCCCCGAGAATGTGAAGGAATGGGTATTTGGTTGATGGATTGGTGAGATAGAGGGGTGGAGGATACTGGTTATGTATGGGAGATGAAGGGTTCGGGTGAAGGTTGGGGTGGGGGGTTTTTCAGACTGAACCGCTTGGGTGGTCCTAAATTCCTGTGCTAGAGCGGTCATTGCATCTTGCACACATGGTTTGATGGTGGAATCTAGGAAGCGTTTGAGCAGAACGTTGACGTCTTCAAAGGTTGGGTGTCCAGTTACGGGGGTTGTAACTGTTGTCACAGCATCAGTGAAGATAGCTGATGTGTGGCCTGCGTGCAATGATGGAATCATTGAAGGCGTAGCAGGGCTTCCAACCGTCATAGCTTGCGCTCTGGTTGTTGCTTTCAGGGTGTGTGCACCTGTATGTGCTGTGAAAAGTGTAGGTGTCCTAGAAAATGAAGAAAATGTAGGAAATGTGACACCTAGACTCGATGTGTTTGAAGAAGGGGTTTTGACCTCGGGCGATAGGTCAATAGTACGCTCAACTGATTCGGAAGGAACCAATGAGGGGGTTGAGTCCCGTGCTTTTGAAACGATAGCCTGTTGAGAGGCTATCGAGTGGCTAGGTGAGGGATGTGCTTGCGCAGTTGAGCTAGATGCTGCGACTTCTACCCGGGAACCGAAAAGATCGGCTCCTGTACTTAGGGATTCGGCTCGGCTTATCTGGATAAATGGATCGCAGCCGGCGAATATGTGTTCGTCAGCCTTATCTATGAGGCTCTTTCTGACGCGAGGCTGGGGCTTTTACTTAGCAGCTTTGTCATTTTTAATCTTAGCCTTTTTTTCCCGGATGACGACATCTTTGGAATTCTTGATAGTATGGGCTGCTTCATCGTAGTCATCCTTGGAGCAGTTTGTTTCTCTGGGATCGGTTTTTGGTTTAGTCAGCTCTTTGATAGTGAAGACTTTGGGTCTGCCTGCGATTATTGGTGTTGCGTCTTCAGCAATGATCTTCTTTGGAGATTCGACAAGCAGCTTTCCTTTTCGGATTAGAGCATAGGTGTGCTCAACGTCTTCACTGTCATTATCATCATCATCATCAGAGCCAGACTCCTCGCTATCCGTACCCACGCTCTCGGATACCTCATCGTCAGATTCCTCAGCGTCTGTTTCGGTGCCCTCAGCCGTCTGACTCGTCTCTAGAGAGTCGTCAGACTTTCCTTCATGGGGCAAACCGGCCACTGGTTTCTGTGGCTTCTGGACTTTCTTAGGACCCTTACCTACACTCGGCTTTGTCCCCGGGGTAGGTCCAGCTG